AGGCTACCACCAAGTAGGGTAAAGAGTGGAATTGTTGGCAGCAGATAAAACCTTCGATACCATCTCTATTTCCCTTCTAATATCAGAGTGGCCGCTGTGAGAAGAGTGAGGGCAGGGCCAGCAATCAATAGCTAATATGCCCGTCATGAGCCAGCCTGCTCCGGAAATGGGCAGCCACTACCTTCTCCGGAGCGATACCCTTTCCTCTTGGCAGCGACCCAGCCCAAGCGGTCCAGCTTCACGGCTAGGAAGGACCAGGCCGAGGACCCAGCCTACCTCACGCTGTTTCATCTGACTGATGGGGAAACGATGGGGAATGGGAGAAAAGAGGCACCCAAGTCTCCCAGGAAGCAGAGAGGCCAGGACACACAGCTCCCTACTGGATGAGCCAGCTCCTGACAGTGCGCCAGTTGATGGGACAGAGATGACCTCAAGTCAGAATCTAAGAGTCACCTCTGTTGGGTGGCTGGCAGTGGCTAAATAAGGACAGGGTTCAGTCTGGGCTTTGTGACCACATACACCCAAGCATCACAGGGGAGGGCCCTGGAAGTATGTCTGGAATTAGGCCTTGACCATGGGTGATTATACAGAAGCAAGAAGTTGGGAGCTGCCCACATATCAGGCAGACCTGTGCCTTGTCTGAAACAGAAGTCAATGGCCTATTTAAATAAGCACACCGGCTACTGTCCACCTGCTGCCACCACAGCGGCCAGCACAGACACCAAGATGCAGCAAGCAGCCTCAGTGAGGATGCATGTGAGGTGGCTGTCCCTTAGGCAGGAGATAGCCCGCACTGTATCCAGGGTCTCTGTGGCATCATGGCTGAGCACATGTGAGCTTGGCAGAGATTTCCCAACTGGACAGAACAGCAGAGGAAAAGGGTCCCAGGTGTGGCACCTGTGCATACAGCAGCCAGGAAGAAGGCTGCCCCTGGCATGGACGATCCTTAGACAGCAGCCCACCCAGCTTCCGCCTTTCCTGGGCCATGGGTTTACAGGGACCTGCTGGTCTCATTCTCAGCTCCTCTTCTATAGTCTGCAGTGGTGCCCCAACCTGGGACTCTGCCAATGCCTGGTCTGGTCCCTCCGAAAGCCTCACACATCTGATTCTGAGGCTGCACCCACATTCACCCCTTAGACAGGCCCCAGTTCTGGCAGCACGCAGGGACTACGTATAGACACACTGGTGGCATGTGGCATCCTCACCTGCTATACCTGTGTCCCTCTCTCCTGCTATCCTGGGAGGCCACCTGCTGCTCATCTACTTTAGGGGAACACCTAAATGACAGAGGCGCTCTTTGGTTGGTAAGCAGGACGTCCCAGCCCTCTTCTCCTGGGAGTTAACATCAATGGAAATGTGCACTCTCGCCAAGTAGAAGCATCTTTGGGGTCATTTTCCTCCCAGGAAGAATCCCCATTAACGCCCCCTAAGACATGCTCCTTGCTTCTTTGCTCAGAAGCTTTCAGTGCCAGGGAGCCCACCGTCTCCCAAGGCAGCCTGTCATGTTGCAAGCAGGGGTGCTGAACTCTGGCTCCCGCCAAGCCGAACTCCCCTTGGACTCTGCCTCAGTGGTCCCAGTTCTGAGTTCTCGGCCTGCATAGAAGCAGTCTGCCTCCTTTTCTTCACAAAGGCCTTTCCGTATGCCCAAGCTGGGAGTGTCAACCTGTCAAAAGGCGTGGGGAGTTCGAGTGGTTCTCAAACTCAGCTGCGGACAACTTGAAAGGACAAGGGTGTTACGACCCAGAGCTCCATTCCCGAGTCCTCTCCAGTCCCGCACGCTGGTGCTGCTCCCAAGTGGCGTTTACCAGCCGCAATCTGGCGACAAACAAGCCACCAGGAGGGGAAGGTAAAGGTGAAGGAGGAGGAAGGGGCAGCCCCCATGAAACAGGACGCCTGATTTCACACACCCCAGAACAGCCTGACTAGGCGTCCTCTGGAGAAGGCCAGCCCTCGACCCACGTGCGGTCTGCTGCTGCCTGTGGTGGGCAGAGCGCGGACACAGATGCTTGAGGGAGGCCTCCTGTGATCACTCTTGGAGAAATGCAAGTGGTTAACCAGAGGGGAACGATCTCGACACCTGCCAGGATGGTGGGTTTTTGATTTTTTCGGATTACGCCTAAGGTTTGTAGTTTGGACAGGCAAAGTAAACAATGACAATGACAGCAGCAACGAAACAGAAACGAAGGACAGCTTACTCAGTTTTTTTTTCCCCTTAACAGAAAAAAAAAAATCCTCGTGGTAAAAGAAAGCTCCACACTGGCTCAGAGACAGCCCACCCGGGCAGACCGCGGTGCGCCTACGGGGCCGGTGTGAAGGGCGCACGCTCCAGTGGACGGCCCTGCGGGGGTGCGGCCCGTCTCTCATCTCTCTTTTGCTTTTGGAAGGGGCGGATAGGGACTGGAGGAGAAGGGCTTGGACCCGCAGAAAGCAACTGTATTTAGACCATGGCAAACTGAGCTACTCACTTCACTCCCACCCCCACGCCTGCCCAGGGCCTGGGCCTGGACTATAAGGAAGAATAGCCCCTTGGGCCCAGCACCTACCTGGAAGAATCCCGGTGGGATGGGGCCTCCCGGCATCCCATCGTTGGGGGGAATGTTGCCGAGGACGGGGCTCGGGGCAGCTGCTGCACTCTGTGGAGACAAAAAATGGGGAGGGTGAACAACCCATGCCACCAGCAGATACAGGGTTCCCAGCCCTACTCAAAGGCCACCTTTCCCTTAAAGCCCCCCCAGTACCCTACAGGTGTCATCTCACTGCCAATGAGGCAGACCTGGACCCGAGTCCCAGCTGTGTCACTCCCTGGGCAGGCAAGAACCAGTGAGCCTCCGTCTTCACTTCTCTTAAATGGGGGAGCGATGCCTACCACGAAGCGAGGATGCTGGTTGGCATGAGGCAAGCACCAAAAAGGTACTGCCCACAGCGCGGAGAAGGACTGAGCAGCAACGGAAATGCACAGCGGCCACCACCGTCATGACACCGTGCCTTCCCTGCCCGGGGAGGAGCTCGCTGAGGACAGGCGAGGTGATTTACAAACATCTGTGTCCACGCCAAGAGGCTGGCATGTTGTACAGAACAGAAGGTCAGCAAACACTCACAGCTCATTGAAAGAATGAGCAGACCGACGGGAACCATTCCTGGAGAGGCTGAAGGAGGGAAGGGTGTCCTTTTGGTCCCTATGGAGTCCTGGGTGGGCTGCATGGCTACCATCTTTTGACGTGGTTTACACTGGCCATTTGGAGATCTACTGTGTGTGTGTGTGTGTGTGTGTGAATGCGCGCAAGCCATAGGGTGCATACGCTTACAAGAGAGAGACAGAGACGGAAGGAAAGTGAGAAATCACCCGCCAGTGGGGATGGCCATGCCGCAATCCCTTCTCCTCTCAGGATTCGGAGCACGCAAGTACCCACACCTGGTATGATTTTCAAGCTGCTGGGTTCAGGACTCAAACTGCAGTCAGCCATGTGGGAGTCTGGCGTGCGAACCAGCACGCCACCCGCTGGCCCTGGGAATCCAGCGCTTTAACCATCACGCCGCCTGCTGGTCCCTTTAGATCTACTTTTATAGTAAAACATTCACTTCCTTTTGCTCTTTGGGGATCTGAGCCTATCGCATGCGGTATGTGATTGCTATTTTTAACTTGCCCATGAAAACGAGAGCCCGCGAGTGCTCTGTTGCTCTGATGAGGCTCCTTCACCCTCCAATGTCCTGTTCCTCTGAAATCAGCATCTCAACGATTCTAGGAAACGCGGCACGGGAGTGGTCCACGGTTCTCTGAACCCAATGACCAGGGTAGCCATGGTTCCAGTGAACAGGTGGTGGGAATCTCTGAATCTGGGGTGGAGAGGATGGAGTTCTTCTGTCCCCCAATAGAGAAAGACAACAAGGGCAGGCCATGCTAGCAGTGACTGAGGGGCAGGAGGCTGAGGAGACGACGTTCCTACATAAACCCTTCTCCAGCAGCAAGACGAGGCAGCTCTGCGGTGTGCAGACTGTGCTCGGCATGATGACAGTTATTGCTGTTCCCTTTGATCGTGAAGCAAACACACGCTCACAACAGAAGGTGCAGAAAGGGACAGAAAAATGTGAAGGAGAAGAAAAGCACCAACTGGTGGTACAGGCTGACAGCAGGGTTCAGGGGCCGAGAAGGGCTCAGAGTAGCCACCCAAGTCAGCGGATGTCCCAGTCCACATCTGTCGACGTGACACTGGATCCCGGCCCCTCCACAGTGGGGGCTTTTACCCATCTCCCAGACCCAGCACAAAGTGAGCACAGAGGAGGTGTGCAATAAATTACCACTGCTGGAATGACTCCAAGGTCTGCTCGGACCTGAGCACCTGGGCCCTTTCCAGACTGTGAGGGATCGCCTCTCCCCGTGGTTTCCCACTTGGAGTGAGAGCTCCATGAAGGCACTCAGCAAAGCATCTCGTGTGAGTTTCCTTTAAAAACACCAACCCCAAACCAAGTCCCCTGCCGTTCACCGAGGCCTAGAGCACACGCGCCGGAGCTGCGGTCGGTGCACGGGTGAGAGAGGAATGAATGCTCAGGGCAGAAGCCAGGTGCCTCACCGTGGGCTCCAGAACAGCAGAGAGCCACGGCCGCCAAGTCCTTCCTTGATCTGGAATGCAGTATCCCCACGTGTGCGCGGACAGGGTGAGGCATGGGGACCACCAAGGCCCTTCTCCCAGCCCAGGGCATGCATGCAAGAGGCAGGGACTGAACACAGCAGTCCCTCCACCAACAGGAAGAAAGACCCTGGTGTTTAGCTCTTCTCTGTTCATGATGAAACATTTCGAGGTCAGCGATGGAAAACCACCCAGAGCCCCATTTGCTATCCAAGCCTGCAGAGAACAGTGGCTGGCGCCCGGGCTTGGGGCCGGCGCCCCACCCCACCCACCCTTCGATACCCCAGCCTGCAGAGAACAGTGGCTGCCGCCTGGCTTGGGTCCAGGCCCCTCACCAATGCTTGTCCACATAGGCCTAAGTATGTGCACGCAAAAAGGCAGAATTGAAGGGGGCATGCAGTATGGTGACTTGCAGTTGAAGGAAAAAAAAAAAACAAATTTAAAATTCTTTCTAAACAAAAAACAGACCCTGCAGAGTGGTGTGCATTCCGGTCAACCATCCCTGCTAAGCCTCGGGGGTATAGACAACTCTTTTTTTTTTTTTTTTTTAAAAAGAGACATTTTTGCTATGGGTCGTGTGTACCTGCCAGAGATACGGAGAGACAGAAAGCGAGAAATCATCCCTAGGGGGATGGCCATGCCACAATCCTTTCTCCGTTCTCCTCTTGCAATTTTGGGCACACATAAACATGTGTCTGGTGTGAGTTTCAAGCCTCTGGGTCCGGGACTAGAACCTCTGTCAGTGAAGTGAGAGTCCAGCAATGTAAACAATATGCCATCTGCTGACCCCAACAACTTAAAAAGCTTAAGGTGCCTTGAGAGACTGCCAGAAGTCCCCATTGCAACATATTTTTGTTCCTGGTCAGGAAATTCTTCAGAGGACTGATATCATGGCTTCCTTTCTAAAGAGACGGGGTGTTTGGGGGGCCAGTGGGTAGTGTGAAGGTTAAGGTGGCTGGATCCCACATGGCCAACTGAGTGGTTCAAATCCTGAACCCAGCTGGCTTGAAAAACACATTAGATGTATATGCGTACATGCCCAAAATCCCAAGAGGAAAGGGGACTGCGGTGTGCCCCCCCAAAACTGAGGGTGGAGCTGATTTCTCTTTTCCTCTCTACCTCCTTCTCTTTTTGGTGAGTGTCCCCACCCTATAGAAAACTAAGAAAGAATAGGTTTTTGTTTTTGTTTTTAAATGATCCCAGATGGGTACATAGCCACAGGTTCAGGGGTTCCCTCCAGTCTCTTTCCATGTGTGTGCTCCCCAGAGGAACACTGCAACCTCAAGCTTCCCATGCTATCCCAATCGTTGGCTGCCAACAGAATGGGGATACCTGTTACCTTGCCACTGACCCCACCTTCGTCCTTCCCGGGTGCAGAGACAGGATTCAAACCCAGGGCTCAGAGTCAGAGCAACTGAATGAGCCTTGGAAGCCAGGCCAAGGGATCTGGACTTTCTGCTCTGGGCACCAGGGATGATTTCTAGGCAGAAGAGAGACCCACGTCCTCTAAGCGTCCCACCTGGCCCACCTGACTTGGTGCCAAGCACACTAATATGTCGTTACCAGGCCTCCTCACCACCACCCAAGCACCCGCGGCTCCCTGAACAAAAGGACCCAACAGATCACCACATGCCCAGATGCCTCTCATCTCACCCAGAAACAGGGTCTCGTCGTAGGCAACAGCATTTGTCATTCTTTCTGGGGACATTCCCTATAAGATAATATCTTTTGGCTTCACCCCAAGAGCCCCAGTTATCCTCACTCGCAAAGCATGGGAGCCCCCACACACAATACACACTTTTACTTTCTTTTCAAAAATAGTTTTATGTACATGAAGCTCTTGAAAAACTGAATAGGAACAAATGCTCAGAGTGAACTGGGGGACTGCGGCCAGGCCGGCCAGCCCTCCTGCCTGATTTACAAGGCAGCAAAACGGTCCTTGTTCGCAAATCCCCTCCCTCCTCGGCCCGCCCAGCACTCAGGCCTTGGCATGCAGCACTGCAGACTACATGCAAACCACCAAGCAAAAGCCTTCCTCAACTGAAACGCAACACAGGTCCCATGGTCCGGGGCCCAGGGTGTCGGGGTGTGTGGTATGTGCTGTGGGTGTGGCCATGTGGTCGCTTAAGAGGGCACGGCGCATTCCTGTGAGGACCACGGCAAGAGGGCAAGCAAGAGGGCTAGGCTTCGGGGGCGTGTGTACCCGGCAACCCGGGGAGGGAAGGATGCTTGCTCTGAACCAACACGACAGACTCGGAGATTCTGTGCAGAATACCAGAGTGACCTGGGTTCTCCAGGGCCAGGTCTCCTAGAGGGCATGCTAGCAGCATCAAAAACTGAAGACATAGATGCAGTTGGAGACAATGGAGAGGATGCCATGGCCCAGACGGGAGGGCCAAGACGGAGATAGGCGGATGCCAAAGAAGGGCAGGGGACAAAGAGAGGCCTTGCACAGAATGCGTAGACCACAAAACAGAACCTGTTTTGGAGGGCCCAGCGAATGGCATAATGGTTACAGCGCTGGACTCACACGTAGTCGACCACAGTTCGAATCCTGGATGCGATGGCTTGAGACTCACGCAGGCAGAGTGTGCATGTGTGCTCATTCCCCCAGGGGTGATTTCTCACTTTCTTTCTCTGTCTCTCTGGCGAGTGCACGCACCTTACAGCAAAAATCTCTATTTAAAAAAAAAAAAAAAAACTTGATTTGGAGAACAGGCGCTCTCACCCTGCAGCTTGGAGGAAACAGAGCTGCTGTTACATGAAGAGATGGGACCAGCTGGCGTTAAAAATAGGTTCAGATGACACACAAGGGTGACACAGGATCCCTGCCTTCAAATAGCCAGGGTGATGTCACATGGGAGGAGGGGCAGATGTGCCCTCCCGGTGCTAAGGGATGGCCCTGGGTTCACAGAAGATGCTCTAAGCCACAAATAGCTTCTCCACTCCCAGTATCAGAACTGGCTGCCTGGGAAGTGGTGACTGTAATAATCGGGTCACCCACAGAC